TGCACGCAAGGTACACAAAAAAATGGCTATGATTTTACCTTGTTGTTTGTGAACTATTAGTGGTTCAGTTTATACACTTTTAATTCAAAATATTCTGCAGAGTGGAAAGAAAATTCTCAGTTACTTTGACACTAGGGAAAGGAATCGTCAGATTAATTTGCGACATGATAATCATCTTGGTGATTGAATATTTGCTGCTTTGGTGTGTTCTAGCCAGAATTTGTTTGGCCTTTTAGTATGTTGCATATTTTCTAGCACAACATTTTAGTTTGCATATTTGTAATTCATTCTCATCAACGTGTTATCCTATGTGGTGATATGATATCCAATTGAGGCGAGATTTAAATGTGTTCATAATGTGTTTACTTTCTGCTGTTATGAGCTTCATGATTTCACTTAAATTTTGAATCTTAAATCTTCGTGGCAAATTTCTAACAGGGACCAAAAGCAGAAGAGACAGCAGCAGGCTCAGGGGGTTCAGGATCTGTTGCTGATGCTAAACCTAGTGCTCAGAGCTCCTCAACACCTGGTGTGTCAACTGACAAGTATAGAAACTATGCAGTTGTTGCTGGAGCGGTGACTCTTCTTGGTGCTGGGGTTGGTACTTATTGTCAAAAGACAAGAAAGCAGAAGAAGTGCATGACTAAGGCAAATTTACACAAAGCTATGGCTAAGAGGAAATAATGCAGAGACTAATCTTTGATGTGTTACCTCTTCTCTTCCCCCTTGTAACGAGCACTTTTACACTAAATGGTGGATATACAGTGTGAAGCTGAGATATAATAACTTGTCTGCTACTTTGTGACGATTTTATCCATGTTAATTCTAGTAAACTACAGCTCTTTTAGAGGAGGAGGAAGCACACGCTGATACATGCAAATGATTTTTGAGTTGATCTGTTCTCTATAGATTCCGACTTGCGATATTATAAGATTTTCCTTTCTCCTACTGCTGCTTTATGGTTTATGAAGCAAATTTATGGTATTCGTTGTATGTATCCACTGCATTTACAGGAAAATGCTGGGCTTCAAGTTGTGCCCTGTACCCTTTGCAGAGGAATGAAAAAAATTAGGCCTGAAAATTTTAGAAACGGAAGGACGTAGATGGTGGATCTTTTATGACAGGAAGATGAAGGCAAATTGAAAGTTTGGAAGGCTCTAGGTCTCTTGGCAGACTTTTTTCTTCCCTCAAAATGAAGGGATGAAGCCTGAAGTAAAGGAAATTACAGTGCAGTGATATAAATTTCATTTTTGTCATGGGGAAAGCTTGAGATCAATGCACAATTTGTTGATTTGAACGTGCAACCCAAAATGATTCCTTACAGCTTAGTCTATTGAAAGAAAGCTAGAAGTTGATGGCTTGACATTCCAGACTTGGGTGAGCGTGAAAATGCAACAGCGGATGTGACTTCAAAAAACTTCAGGAGGAGAGAAATTTATGCCTCTCTAATCTTCCTAAGCACAGCAAATATAGCTCCAACCACAGCAATCACCACCCTGAAAATAGAAGGGTGGACTTGAGGTTATCAGGCATCCCATGCTTGTTTTCTTTCCTTTCTGCATCAGCTTTTTCATTCTGCAAATTGCCAGCAAGTTCCAATGTAGTAGTAAATCAAGTCAACCAATACAAGAACAACTCAAACACCTCTGAATTTTAGGAAAATCATAAAATTAAGAACATCTTTTGGGTTAGTTCTCAACTGATTCTTGATCTTGGCAACATCTTTTGGCTAATTTTTGAAGTCGGAATCCTAAAATTAAGAACCTCCACGTTTTGGGCCTCAACCTTAGAATCAGAATAGCACATAATTGCAAAAAAGGTGGCACTTAATTGTAGCCAAGCCAAGATTACAAGAAAGGTGACCAGTTAAGATTTAAGCCATGGTACATAGCTTTGTTCTTCAATACATAACAAAACTATATACAGTACATTTTTTTTCTCTCCTTTTGGGACATAAGCAAAGACAAAAGCAACACAGAAATTAGAGCTTACAAAGCATGAAAGTTATAAAATAACATAAAGGGTCAGCAAATTTCGTACCTTTAGTTGTTTAGAAGAGGTGGGAATATCAGGATTAAGAAGAAAATCAGAATCAAGTTCTTGCTCTATCTCTCCATCACCTAATTGATCATAACTTATAGCAGCTGCAGCCATTTGATCAGCTTCTTGATCAGGAGTACTGGCCATAATTGCACTTCTTGATTTCCTTAAATTAACGTCTGAGGTGCAAATTAATCTCTAATTAGTACTAGGAAGCAAAAGAATCATCAAGAATAAATATAGCAGAAATTGTACTTGAGATTTAAAAAAAAAAAAAAAAAAGGCAAAGAGAAACTATGAAGAGGAAGCTAGAGGGCATATGACACGTGGATTACATGTGTTTTGCTTCTTCGGCTTCACGTGTCTTCTGGGCTAGTACAGCACAACACCGTCGCTGCGAGATATATATATATACTTTTTGATGGATGTAAATAATCATGTTGTAAGCTTTGTCCACAACTTCTACTTCATATATTTTTTTAAATTTTTTGTTCAAAATTATTTTGGGTTAATTACATGGATCGCCCGTGAAATTTGACATAATTCCAAAAATCTCCCATGCAACACTACACCTTGATTGTGTTTCCCTCATTGTATTATATTCCCTCTGTTTCACTTTGATATTCTTGTTTTTATTTTTCATTCATCTCAAATTATATTTCACTTTCTGTTGAAAAATATACTAATTAACTTTTAATTTATCTAAAATACCCTTATTTAATGTACTTTTACTGTCAGTGAGTGTAATCCACCTTATTCAATAATTGCTCTGATTCATGCCTTGAATAGTGCAATTTTCTATTTAGTATTATTATTATAATTAAAATAAAGGTATAATGATTAGTCATACTCCTAATATTAGCATAAGGGTATTAAAAAATATAGTAGGTTAGGTTTACTCTTCCGACAAAGTTAACTAATTTTTCTAAAATTATGTGAAAAAAAAAAAAAAACTATCAAAATGGGATGGTGGGAGTATTATATGCAAGGAGATTTTTAAATTGGCATGCATATTTTTGTTGGATAATTTAGCCAAGAAGGGCAGTCGTTATAAATTCTATAATTTGGAAAACTACTTGAGAAACTCATGAAATTTAATAAATCTTCACCTTTAATTAAAAAAAAAAACTTAGAAGTGAGACTAGGGAGTTCAAGAGGAAAAGCTTATGATGTCCCTTTTTAAGGTACTCAATCCACTACCTAAATTATCCAACAAAGTGAGAAAAACGTAATGATTAGAGAGCTCCATCCTCATTAAGTCGTCTTAATTTTGAGTAAAGACGAATCTGGCTTGGCAAGTTAATTATAGATTCAATATGATACTCAAGTAGGCTCAACTACATTTATGCCACACTTTTATGTCTATTACCACACACATCTATTTTCACTCAGCAATGTACTTTGAATGGGCATAATTTCCATCTACCAAGTTCATAAAAGAATGAAGAAATGATGCCCAAAATCCCTTTTCATGGTAACCGGAATTGGCACAAATCTACCACGATCATAGGAATATATGTTACAAATTCACTATCTTTGGCATTAGATGTGAACAACAATTAGTACAGACACCAGCAAAGACTTGTAAAATGCACTTGGTAAAACTTATTGCGCATTTTGCTTTGACACATAGTAGTATGTTTTCCATTGAGTAAAGATCAAGCGTAAGTAAGGGTAATTTACCAAACATGATTATCAATCTAGGAAGTTTCCTAGACTTGGTACATCAGAAGCGAGAAATGACTGGCGTTTTGATGGTTGCATGATATGATTGATTCTTGACCAAAATCATTGAGATTAGTAAGTTAAGTTGGTCTCCAATCAAGGTGAAGGTTGTTATGACACATTTATTAGACTAGTAGTAAATAAATTTTCTGTTGTCCTGCTTGAATTTGAGCAAGCACATGCAATAATTAACTACACTTTTAAATCCGACAAAATTTTGTGTCAAGTAAATCATGGCAGGGTCAGAACTAACAAGTAATGAAGCTGGTGCGAGGGTGGTTGTAGATGAATCCAGCAAGGTACCAGGAAAAAAACTGCTGTACAATAAGGGTCATTTGTTATTATTATTACTATTACTATTATTTTCCTTCAAGGACCATTACAAGGATAAAAACCAAATGTCTGGAAAAGGGCAATGAGTTTTGGTGATTGTGGAGTTAAGGGTCAAAACACTAATGAGTTAGAGTTAGACAGTGGATTTATTTGATTCATGCGTTTAAAACTTTGTCTTGAGATACAATGTAATATTAGATGTTGCAAATTGATCCTCTAAATTGTAAGAAAAGAGGGATATAACCATATCTTCAAGCAGATGAGCAGTCATCTTGCTGGATATATATATATGTATATATATGGCATAGCATGATTCATTGATTGCTCTCATTTGGGACCCTTGATATGAATGAACCATCAATTGCTATCACTCTATCTTTTGATCCCAAAACTTGAGCAACATGTTATTGTTGCATTATTGCTCGAAGAATATCCTTGTTTGGATTGCATTTTTCTGAATTTTTTTTTTTATAGAAAAATTACTGTAGCGATTTGATATATGTAAGGTAAAAAGGTGATTGATAAATGTGTTCACGGAAAACGTATCAATTTCTCTTTGAAAAATTGCTGTCCAAACAAGAAGAAAAACATAGAATAAATGAAGAAGAAATTACAAATGGATGCTTGAAAATGAAGAAGAAAAACAGAGAATAAATGAAGAAGAAATTACAAATGGATGCTTGAAAATGAAGAAGAAAACAGAGAATAAATGAACCCTGGAATGCTTTTTCTCAAGGATTAAAACTGAATTCAATGAATTGAAAGTTGAGAGAAGAACAATTAATGACATCAACTTTGACCCCAAATGACAAAAACTGATCTATATATTTCTGATGTGGCATAATCTTACTGGATACACCAAGATACCCAAAAGAATATTAGGCCAGAGTAACAATTAGGCCAAAAAGACCCCTGACGAGCAGCTCAGATGTCTGATGAGGTACCGGGATCCAAAGCAAGAACACATCTTCAAGATATCACCTTCTGAAGTGAATCTCCCCAAAACCCAATTTCACACACTAAACACTTGCAGACTCACACATACACAATACACTACTATGTCCTAGATTTATATATAGGAGTAGTATAATGTATATAGATAGTAATTTTTCTGCTAACTTTATGGCTTTCCCCTCTTCTCACTCTCCATTTCCTCTTCTCTCTCCTCGAGCACATATCTGATTTCTTCAACGCTTCATCATTCAAGAGCAAGCCAGAACAGAGCCAACAACACAAGAAAGAAACGTATACTAATAAAAAATGGAAAAATTAGTCATCAGTCAGCGGTTCATGATTCTCACGTCCCATCTCTCCTCACTCCTTACCATTCCTTCAATCTAACTCTTGTATAACTGCTACCCCTTTATACGAATCTCTCGCAGTATTCCATTTTTTTTCATATTATTCATGCATCCCATTCGTTGCCTCCCTCAAACTATAACCACCAGTCCACCACCATATTGACATTTTACATCAAGATTGAATCTTTCCACCCCATTTCTTCCATTTTTTTAGACCCTTTACCAAATCTTGAAGAGCCCATATTTTAATTCTCAAGAAAAGACAAGAGATTCTTGCTTTGTTGATTTTTTTTGGGAAAATAAAAAAGCCCATTTTTTGGTTCTACTGAAAAGGCCAGCCATGACAGAGGTACTCCACTCATCTCCTCCTCTTCTTCTCCTTCAATTTCCACCCCAACCGACAATGGGACATTGTTTCAGTCTTTTCTGAGAAGAAGAGAAGAAAGGAAGAAGAAATTATTGCTAGAATTACCGGTAGTGAGGGGAAAGTGAAGAAGAAGGAGGAGAAGTGAAAGAAAAAGAGAACAAGGAGAGAAGGGATCATCAGCTGTCTTTACTAGCTTTTCTGGTGACATTGATTAGGAAAAGTTTTTGGATGGCTTGCAAGACTACTACTGGCGGTGGTGGAAGAGAAGAGCTTGGGGAGAGTTGGAGTTGCTGCAGGAGGGATGGAGATTGGGTGGCCCACTAATGTCCGCCATGTTGCACATGTCACCTTTGATAGGTTTAATGGCTCTTGGGTTTGCCTGTTGAGTTTGAGCCTGAAGTCCCCAGAAGGGCTCCTAGTGCTAGGTACATTCTTCTTTCTTTTCTTGCCTGTTGAGTTTGAGCCTGAAGTCCCCAGAAGGGCTCCTAGCGCTAGGTACATTCTTTTCTTTCTTTCTTTCTTCCTTCTGGTTATTTATTTATCCTGAAATGTAGACGAATTTTCTTTTTCTTGGATTTTGGAATTCTCCATTGTAATTTGTGTTGTTTGTTCGTGTACGTGTGCATTTTGGGTTCAGGGTCTTGAACTTGTGAGACTTTTTTGTTGGTGAATTGTTACTTGTGTTTAATAGGAAATTTTGGAATTGGACAAAATAATTTTTGTATCAATGAGCACTTATGTAGCTGATTCTTTATTGAACGTTTACTAGCTTGATGGTTTTTCTTGAACGCAATTCTGTAAATTTAGGTTTTCCTTGCTGCTGTTTAACTGGCTGTACGTTTTGCTTATGATTCTATCAGTTCATTTGCACATTAGATATATGGCACAAAAGTTGGATTACTGGTTCTTCCAAATTGAGATCTAGCTTCAGTCAAATGTCTAGGGACTGAAACTTATATGCGAGTAGAGCTTTATAAGTAAAAATTTGTTGGTTGAACACCTTTATGATACTTCAGTAATTTATTTCTCAATTTTAATGTGGGTTAAGGTATATGGGAAGGTGTGGACTTGCTATACTTTACCTCTGAGATATTAAAAGACAGGATTGATTAGTTTTCCTGCATTGAGTTTCTTCTCAAACTGTAACTGGAAAAGATGTTTCCAGAAATATGACCAGAGTTTCCTTATCTTGAAAAAAAGATAAGCTGGAGTTTGGCTTAAACCCTGGCTTCTACTAATCTATATGCTTATTCTACTGTGTTTGTACCAATTTGCTTTCTGAGAGAACTCATCTTTAGCTGTAACCAAAAATGATTTCCTGTCAAAACTGCGTTTATCCATCTTCTTTTTGTGATGAGATACAATATGTCCTCCACTTGAATCAGTGCATGAATCTATATTCATTTGTGCTTTGTTATCCTCTAAAACAAATCTGTATCTGCTAAGGGAGCATTTAATTTTGCTTTCTGCTGTTCTCTGTTCTTGCCATTCAATATGAGTTATACGTCAACCTCCAATTGTGTATCAAGTAATTTGGTAGATGTCTCGAACCTTTCTTTTGTTGCAAGTGATAATGCACAAAAGTAGTTTGTATATCCTTCCTCGTCTTGTCGTGAGCTACCAAATAACTCCCTTGTTATGTGCATTAGGAAAGTGTTGTCTATAAACTGATATTCATTGGCCAAAATGTGCATTATCTCATTCCCCTGGGACACTACTGTTTTCTGGACCTTACAACCTTGCTTGGACCAAGATGGGCACCTGCATATTGGATCTTTGAGATCGAGGTGTCCTTCATTTGTTTCTTTTAATGGCAAGCAGGATTGGCATGGGATTGAAGCCCATTATGTGAAGGTTAACTGGAGACCCTTTTCTTTGGTGAACTCTCTTTTTCAAGATTGACCTAATTTTCACGAAACAGGTGATGATACTAGTTGATATTTTGAGAAGTTGGATCTGCTTTAGTTGCAAATGACTTCTGGTACTTGCCCAATCTCAAATTTGGCAAATACCAAATACAAGGGGAAGAGAGGAAGAGGTAGGGAGAGGGAGATAGCTTCAGTGGAAAAGTGGGTTCTTGAGATAAAGGTGTTTATGTTTCTATTAAGAGCTGCACATCTGGTATATATGAGCATATGCATTTTCAGAAACTTCCCATGTCTGGATGCCTGCCTTGTGGTTGATCTTGCGTTTATGTATGACAAGTTTGTAATGCAATGTGTGTTATCCCCACTAACTCATGTATTCATGGATGGAATTTAGAGCTATTTTATAGTATGCTGTTTGCTTATCTTTATATCAGTTGTAAATCTCTTTAATCATGCACCAAGTAGAATATAATCTGGACTTGGTTCCTTGGGTGTCCAGAAGTTAACATCTTTATTTTCATTCCTACATATTTGCAATGTTTCAATGTGTAGTTTACATCTTTGAGAATCCATTTTAAGTGTTAATCATTTTCTTAGCATGAGTGTGTCCTCACTGTTAGTGACTTTTTGAACTTGAACCAACAGTGCCACTGTTTTTGGAGTTTTCCACAGAATCCATGCAGTTATCATTTGACTCCAGAGGGAACAGTATTCCAACAATCCTTTTACTTATGCAAGGACGTTTGTATGCTCAAGGTGGCCTACAGGTGAAGACTTTTTGTTAGGATCTTCTGTTTCATTCATGAAATACATTCTCTGTATGGCTAGTAAACTCTCCACAACTCTACCCTTTAATAAAATTCACAAGCTTTGAAGTTTAACTTTTCAACTTATGCAGCAGAAGGCATTTCAGAATAAATGCAGAAAATAGCCAGGAAGAGTATGTGAGGGACCAATTAAATGGGGGAACTGTTCCAGAAGGCATTGATGTTCACTGTTTGGCTGGCCTAATCAAGGTGCACCTCAAATGCATTTCGTATTCTGTTATTTGATAATGTCTTGTTCATGATGGCATTAACGGGGAAGCTAGATGAATGTACATTAATGAAATTTTATATGTATATTTACCTCTGTTTTTTCAGTTTCCCCATGGCTGTTTAACTTTATTAGAGGGATATTTTGCAATCATCCTGACCTCAAAATATGAGTAGATATGACTGCCATATCCTTTTTTAGTATAACTTTGCTTCTTCTGTTGGACAATATTAATGTGAGTGCATATTTATATTACAAGTTAGTAGATATGGATGGTTTATGTTAAGATCATTCGTGTTTAAATGATACATATCTTGTTAAAGGCATAACCTAGATCATACAGTATTGAGACTGACAGAGTGCTTGAGCCATTGATATCTATCCTAAGTGTTATCAAGCAGTTAAAAGTTGAACTAACCTGACAACCTGGTATATTACTTCTTCTATTTTTTTTTCTATATGCTAATAAACAATTACAAACCTTGCTGGCTTTTCGTTGTAATAAAGGTTCCCGCTTATTGTTCTTGTTTGTATTCTGGAAATGAAGCCCATCTGAATTACCTCTCATTTTTGTGAATAAATTTGGGAATTCTAGCTTGTTAAGTACTCTCCATTTAGTGTATCATACATTTAATGAATACTGATTCTATTGGCCTTTGCTATACATGTATTCTTAAGTAAATATGTTCATTTCCCTGTGATTGTGTTTTGCTGTATGAAATCTTATATATAGAATTTTGACATAGTGTTTGATACTCGCATTATGCAATAAGCTCCTTGATATAGCACATCCAACCTTGAAAGTTGTAATGTGTTAATCGATTATTCTGTACCTCTAGTGTCAGCTCATGCCTTTTATAACAACTGAAGTATAACTTCTTTGTAATTCATCACCATACTGATGATTATTGTCAGTAACGAATGATAAAGACTACCAGAGTCCATTAGCTTATTGACCAACAATGAAATTCTGCGCTAAGATGGAAGTTCAACATCTTAGGTAGTATCAATTAATCATCTTTTTGGGCTCAGTTTGGGCATTAATTGACTACATAGGATGAGATGTTGGTTATGTAGAATGTAATTAGGTGAATATGTGGACTTTTATGATTAAGCATTAGATATGAAATCTAGATTATAAATCTCTACCAAATGAATCTACTTGTAATCTGCTTCTGTTTTTTCATAGAGTACGAGATGTTTCAAATTTTCCTTTGTTCTTTATATCTGGGTTTGCTGGGTTTGATGATTATATTCGTTCCTCTCTCTCTCTCTCTCTCTCTTCTTAAGTGTCTTTGGAGCAGAAGCAAGAAGAAATTCATCTTCTGGCCAGTCCAAATATCTTAACAGTTGCATAAAAACGGATTGATTAATGCTTTGGAAAAGATCTGTGTTTGGAAAAATTCTGATTAGTGTACTTGCTTTTGAGTTTGCAACAGTTACTCTGCAGTAGCATTTTATTTTGCTAACCCATTGACTAGTATCACTGCAAGTTTTAGGTTGACTTAATTTCACATGATCCTGCAGCTTGGTTCAGAGAACTCCCTAGGTGTATTAGACCCTATCTCGCCTGAGCAGATCATGCAATGCCAACAATGGAGGATTGTGCAGCACTTGTGAGGCTTCTACCCCATCTGAAGCTGCTCTACTGGATTGGCAATCAACTTGATGGCAGATGTCGTTCAATTGAACATCTAAACATGAAACCTCACGCAACATTGCCATGGTATTTGCACCCAATATGACACAGGTAATTTCTAGCAGCTACTTATCTTTAACTTTTATTCTTTTAACATTCAATTCAATAATGCTGTAAGTTTTGATGGCATATTAGGATGAACATCTAATTTAACTTTTTTTTTTTATTAAATCAACTTTGCTTCCTTTTGGTTATTGTGATTTGTATTAAGCTAATGATTCACTTTTCTCTGCATACCTGAAAACATACTTTGTTCTACTTAAAGAAAAGGTATAAGAATAAATCTTAGTTTTTGTCCATTGAGGAACTAAGCTTCCAAGGCAGAATTCTTCACACACAAATGTCAGATGCTATGACAATATACCACTTCCAGGAAATTTGTAAGCTTAAAAGGGAAAAACTTAGTGAGACCAACTTAAAGATACTTTTAAGAGAAGGAATGATAATTTTAGACCATTTCTATCATCTCTATGTGTGTATTACTATCTCATTCTGGCCCAGCCATAAGAATTTTGACAGCAGCATCATACTTGAAATTATGCATCTCTGAAGTGACAGTAGGAGTTATAATGGGCATGTAACTGTTCCAACTCCACTGTACCTCCCAAAAAGAAAAAGGAAAAAAGAAAACCTGTCCGAATGTTAACATATTTATGGTGACCTTATCTATATGGTGAGTTTCGCTAATCATACTTTTGCTCTTCTTGAATTTATTCTTAACAATATCCTTTGTTCCTTTTTAACTGAGTTGATTTTTTTAATTCTTTTTCCTTCTGCAGATGGCTGATCCATTGACTGCATTAATGTATGCAGTCCAAGTAATGAATTTCCTCAAGACTCTTATTGAGAAGACCTTAAGAGACAGAGAAGATTCGGTTGTAGAACAAGCTTCCATGTTCCACCGTGAACCCTATGATGAGAAGGACATCAGAGTCCAGAGGTTTGTGTGGAGGATGCTACTGAGTCAAATGAAGAGCCAGAACCTTTGTTCGTGGCTGGAGAACCTGAGCCAGATAGTGCTTCTGAGTGTCAGCAAGTAGATAACATTAGCGTTGCGGAGTATGTCAGTTCTTCAACTTCTCCTGAAGAATGTTCTGATGAAAGTGTGTCTAGTGGAACTCCCGTTGGTCCCTATACAGCAACCAATCTAGCAAGTGGTCCAAGGACTGACATCAAAGAGAGCATCCCAGAAAGCAGAACTGGCCAGTCCAGTGATTCCATTCAGATGAACTGTACTAAGAGAACAGAGGAGCAGCATATGGTGGCTCTAGCTATTGGAGTTCAGAATAAGAGCAAAGGAATCAGCAATTTGAGCCGTATAAACTCCCTGACAGAGAGAATTGAAGCCTGGCGTTAATGATGCCCAATAACTTAGCACAACTGACTTCATGATGAAACAATTCTGCGTTCAGTTTGATACTTTGATATGTGAAAAATTGTGAATTACCATGTAGTGCTACTCAGTGGTTTGCGACATCTGTTTCACTTTCAAGCGTACACTTAATAGCTTCTATCCTGAACATCATCAAGAAAATGATTTTCATGTGTTTGGTTTCAGTTGGCATCCACGGATGTCAGCATGAGATGGGTGATGGTGCTTCTTCTGGAGCCTAGTCCACAGTCTTCCCTTAAGATTTCAAAGGCAAATTCTCTATCATTTTCTTGTGGAAGCTGGTTGTGGTGCATGCATCTTTTGATGCACCAGGACCACGTCACAGATATGGATGTTGTTTGCACCACTACTATCTGATGGTGGTAAATTTTCAAGCCAATAACACTGGAAAAGCATAATATCCTGTGGATTTTGGATTCTCACTAGTTGCCTCAGTAGAAATCCTCATCCCTGGATTCTTTAGACAGCCCAGAGATCTGAAAGATCCAGCAGGGTGGCCAGTAGTTGTTGACCAATATGGAATATTCTTTAAGCACCGCTATAGACTTGGATTTATCAAAGCCAAGGATAGGCAACACTAAAGCCAAAATAGCATACTTTTCGTTTGTCATTTTGGGTAGAGATGGAACTTCGAGAAGCCTAATGCACATAAAGTTCAAATACTCCATTTCTTGAATCTACTGGATGGGAATATTACTGGGATCTCATGGTAATTGAAACTAATGTTGTCGGTCGTTATACTTTCTTTTTTGGGACGACAATCCATCTATGATGTAAAGTAAAGTGTAGTGAACATCAAATTTTGCTCACAAAACAGGTTCAAACAGTTGAGGATCACATCAAGAAAAATTGACTTGATGAAGCCTTTCATGAATCAGTACTAACATCCATCCTGATAGGGAAAACTTGAGAGGTGGGAGTTGCTGATATGCTAAGAAGTGTTCGTTGTGGTTTTGGGGTTTTAACAGATCACATCAGTATGCTCTGTAAAGCATTCTGCAGTGCCAGTACAGATTAGGAGTTGCAATAAAGTTGCTGAGCTTGTGATCCCATTTATAGCACAGCCCTCTTTGCAAATATCGTTCATCGTCTTCAGTGGCTTGCTAACTGCTTTTTAAACCTTCCATTCGCACTCCCAATATGTGTACAAAGTAGATGCAAATGAGGAATTCTTTAACCTTCACACGCAAGCAAATGGATTACCTATGAACGGAGAAGAACTCCAATTTCAGCTAAGATAAGATTTTTATGTCAGAAAAGAGTACCATTTTGCCTTTGCATGTAGAATTCAAGAACATCTATTATTTATGGGTTAATCACGTTTAATCCCCTTAAAGAATACCCCATTTTTCAGTTTACCCCATAATCTTTAATTTGCTCACTTAACCCCATTTATGACAAAATTACTATTGCATTATTTTGACTTTTCATTTACCTTGTTTTTCTTTCTTTTATTTCTTTTTCTCTTTTTTCTTTATTTAATTCTTCCTCTTTCCCACAAAAATCTTCACATTAATGATTGAAATTAAAAAAAGAAATTGTAGAGATATATCTTCTACTTAAATGATTAAAAAAATATTCAAATCACTTTCCTAAAATACAATTTTTTTAGCCTTTCAATTCTTTTAATTTTGGATTTTCCTCTTTCCTTTCTAGTTTCTCATTTTATTCTCAAGAAAATATCATAAGATAAAATTGTTTTCCTTTCTTTTATTTCTTTCTTCTCTCTTTCATCCTTCCCAATAGAAATTCCATTTCAACAAAAATTTTTGTTTTGAGTTTGTAATTGCATATTTCTAGGTGAAGATTTAAAAGACATTAAAAACTAATTTTGATTTTTTGTATGATGTCACAAGTCACAAATTTCAATTGATGATTATTAATTAGGTCACAATTTCATCTTAAGATATTTTCTTGGGAATAAAATGAGAAACTAGAAAGAAAAGAGGAAAACCCAAATTAAAAGAATTGAAAGGCTAAAAAATTGTATTTTAGGAAAGTGATTTGAATATTTTTTTAATCATTTAAGGAGAAGATAGATCTTTGCAATTCCTCTTTTTTAATTTCAATCATTAAGGTGAAGATTTTTGTGGAAAGAGGAAGAATTAAATAAAGAGGAAAGAGAAAAAGAAATAAAAGAAAGGAAAACAAGATAAATGAAAAGTTAAAATAATGCAAGGGCAATTTTATCCTAAAGGGGATTAAATGAATAAAATTAAAGGTTAGGGGTAAACTGATAAATGAGATATTCTTTAAGGGGATAAAATGTGATTAACCCATTATTTATCTATCTATCTCTTTATTACCGTTATAAAGATACCATGAGTGTTGGTGTTTTGAACGTAAACATCACTAGGGTCTTAGTTTTTCTTATCCTCGTTATGCCCTTATTAATTGATTGAAGTATCATATATTGCCCTTATTATGTAATAATCATGACAAAACACTATGTGATGCGTGTTGGTTTAGAAGTGTTAAATGAAAAGACAAAAGATCACCAATGATGAAGCAATGGATTACCTATGAATGGAGAAGAACTCCAATTTCGGCCAAGATAAGATTTTTATGCTAGAAAAGAGTACTATTTTGCCTGTGCATGTAGAATTCAAGAACATCTATTATTTATTTATCTTTCTCTTTATTACCGTTATAAAGGTACCATGAGTCTTGGTATTTTGAATGTAAGCATCGTTAGGATCTTAGGTTGCGTTTGGATTGCATTTTCCATGGATTTTTCGTTGGAAAATTACTGTAGCGATTTGATGTATGTGAGGTAAAAAGGTGATAGGGAAATGTGTTCACGGAAAACAAGGCCATTTTTCGGTAGAAAATGGCAATCCAAACAAGCCTTTAATTTTTCTTATCGTCGTTATGCCTTTATTAATTGATTGAAATATCATATTATGCCCTTATTGTTTAATAATCATGACAAAAACACTATATGATATGTGTTGGTTTAGAAGTGTTAAATGAGAAGACAAAAGATCATTAATGACGAATGAGAAGAGTAAAGGTTAAATTGAGAATTAAATTCACTATATTATAACATATCGATTAAGAAAACGAAAAAAAAAGGCTAGAATAATTCAAAAATACTAAAACAAAAGGTTTTTTTTTTTAAACTGCAATTAACCTTTCAAAATTGTGCTTAATGCACCTTTAGCAGATATTAGTAGTTCCTATATCTATGCGTATATTGTGTAACTTTCAATGATGCTATTTTACAATCTTTCAGATATTTAGCACGCATAAAACGTTGGTATATGCCAAATGTTATCATCTGGCAGGAAAGATAAGGCAACTGGTGATTTCTTTACAGTTTTTACACAAAAACTGTGACCACCAAAATTCATCCAAAGTTTGATAACCACCCATCCTTGTTCCACTCCTAAGTTAGAGGCACCCTGAAACCGGCATCCCCAAATAAATAGCAACTTTCCACTCTTGACTTTATCAGCAGAACCATGCCCTTCCCGTGCATGTCTCCATCTTAGGCTTTGCTGTTTGCTCTCTTATCTCTCTCTTTTTCTTATCTCTGATGCATAACTCTTCTTGTGCTTAGTCTTGTCATGTTTTCTTTCTCGAACCATCTTTTCCACAAGACAGTGGAAAGTACAAACTATGGCTACGGCCTGTGGAAGCCTTCAACACATATTTGACAGGCCATTACCAGAAAGTCCAACTCTACTTGAGCCCTTTTCTTCATGGAAGCAGATTAAAACCATGAACCCAATCCCAGATTCTTCTTTTGCAGAGATTTTTGGAGAAGTACATTTCAAGGAGAATGAAGTTGTTCAATCTGTTGAGTCCCCTCTTCCTCTTCATCCTTTCTTGATCTCCCTGCTGAATCATCTCCTTGCTCATCCTCATCGTCACCGTCATCGCTGTCCTCTTCATCATTGTTGGCAGATATATATCAACAAAATAGGATTGAAAGGCCACTTGACAACAAGGATGACAGCAGCAAAAGCCCCACATCAAGCTATTGTCCAACGCCAAGCCACGAGAAACATTACAAGCACAGTAATAGCTTTTCTTCCGTGAATTCGGAGAGTTTTTCATTATGCACGGAGGGTCTTGGATTTGAAAGCTCTGACGATGTGGAGGATTTGGGAAATGAAACTGGTTTCGACATTCAGCAGGAGCACCAGCCCCCAGAGGAGAAAATATGCTTTTTTAAGGAATCAAAAAGATCAAGAACAATTAAAGGGTCATTTCCTCCACCAATTTCTTGTATAGGAAGGACAGGAAGGCCTTGGGTGTCTTTTAGATCATATAGACAGGACGGCAGGTTTATTCTTCAGGAGATTAGATTTCCGACTCAAGAGTTTCTGCATGCATGCAGAGAAGATGGACGTTTGAGGTTGCAGCTTATTCAATCAGATGATGAAATTCTTGAGGGTGAGGAGGATGAGGAAGATGAAGAGGATTATTATGATTCTGAGGAAGTAAACTTGGAAAACGAGGGTGATGATAGCGATGATGAGCATGAGCACCGTTAGAATATTTCAGACAGAAGAGAGATTGAAAGAAATGAAGCTGGAAAGCATGTTCTAATCAGGACCAACAATAACCAACATAGCTCACAAAATAGGTAGAGAAGCTCCAGTCTTGTTTGATTCTTTCTGCAGCCAAAACTTCCAAGTTTGCGGCATGTTTTTGTGATCTTAATTTGGAAAGAAATAGAATATTGATATAGGCAGATGGTGAATTCACCTTTAGATTTTCCAGCAGACAATTTTTGTTTCTTTATTTTCTCATTTATTTCTTTGCAGTATTTCATTCTGCCATATCTCCTGGATTATTCTAACTCCTATTGGAAATGCATTCATGATTTCTTGCCTTAATCCATTCCTCAACCCAAAGTACAAGGAAAAATTAATCAAGATTGATCAGAAGAGTGTTAATAGCAAAATTGTGTTTATACACAGCATAGCCTCAACATTTCACAGCAAATAAAGAGGAGGATGCACCTTACCCTGGTCATTCAAGAGCTTGTTGTGCCTGAGCAGTAATCATAAGTGTACTCTGATTTAGTTTTATAACCACATGTAAACATCAAGTGCTAGAAGCAAGCTGAAATCTTAAAAAGGGGGAAATATTTAATCGTGAATTCAGAAGCCTGCTTTCCATACACTTTGGAAATAAACTATTTCAGCAGTCAAGTTCCTTCATATCAAAATTTTGAATTTCTCTTTTTTCTTCCCTTTCTTGATACAGTAGTTCTTGATATTATTTGTTTTTCCAATTCCATATTTCCCTTTCTAGGATCCACCACAGAGAGGAAGAAAAGCCAAAAAGCATGAAAAAACCGGCATAAGCCAGCCCCAAACTCGGTATCCTTTCTTCTGATGGAAAATGAAAATCACAGACACTTCATCCTATATCCAACCCCAGCTATTCAAACTTTTGCAGCTGAAAATGAACAGGAGCAGTGTTGAAATATTAGTGCATTTTTACTGTGAAGTTGTGCGTAGAAATATTAGTGCATTCCTACTTGGTCTTGAAACACACATAAAAAATGATAAATGTTTCCCAACTCAGAGCTTTGTGTCATGCCATGCCTGATGGTACCAAACTAACATAAAAAAACATGAGGGCTGATAGAAGTCAAGATTGCCTGCATAATACCCTTATTTTCCAGCCAACTTCAATTATGGGTAGCCACTATGCCAACTACAAAAGAGAAAGCACTAGAACATTGACTGGAAACAAGACCTACATAGAAACTGTTCAAAGCCCCGAGGCCATTGATATTTTGGTGAGAATGGATTCTGAGAGTTATTTTCAGCTTATTTCTGGATAAAAAAAGTAGTAAAGCAAAAATAATGACAGGTACATCTACGGAGGGAAATGGGGCAGGGACGGTTAACGGTCCAGATTTCCCCTAAAAAATTTGTGCGGCTGAGATAACAAGATGTAACTCGATTTTCGCGCCATGTGTGGGACCCACCACTATCTGTTGTGAAAATACATTCTGTGAAAAAAAAATTACACGATGTACAAAGAGACTTACGATCAGTTGATAATGGCTACAATGGGCAGGGACGGTTGCAGGAGACGCTCTTCTGAGGTCATATTAGATTCTGTTGACAACCAAATAAGTCTTTGTTCATGTCACGCATGGCAGGACATCAACCAAGTCTTTGAACACTAAAAGCCATCTGTCTCTTGGCCAGAAAACGGGGAGCCTGCTGTAACAGCTTGCTGCTGCTTGACTAAAATCTGAGGCCACTGTGCTTCCAAGTCGCCGTGGAATAATTTTTTGAAAAAAAAAAATTATAATTTTTTTGGTGTGATGTATGTAGAATAGAAAGATCGAGAAAAATGTAACCATCCATGATATAATTTCCAACCAAGTTGGAGGGCCATCACCAAGCTTATCGGCACATCTTTTTTCCTCCTTTCGACCCAATAATCTCTGAGGAAAAAGTTCTGAGATTTATGTTTCACTTTAACTCAGGTACAATAATCCATATGCAAGAAAAACAGTTGAAGAGTAGAAACAGTAGCTTTACTTCGGAATGCATTACAACCTTGTCAAATCCACTGTCTAAGCAGGAAAGGATAATCAGATGCTGTGGCCAAATGCAGATTGATGAAGAGACAAATGAAGTGAACGTAATCCTACTAGCTTTTTTATTCTCTTTTTTGTTTGAGTGGGCACTCCAAAATTTTGGCAACATTTGGCCGTCACGTTAGCTGAGGACCCAAAGACAAGCTAATGGTTAATCAGATTGCAAGATATGCTATTACATAAAAGATACATGGACCACCTTGTACAGATACATCACTTTGATGAGCAAAAAAAACACCAATAACTGGTCCAAAAATCATTGAATATCTAACACATGCAATCTTCCAGAATTTGATCCTCAAGTGGTAAGTCCTATACTGTTAACACAAATGTTCCACGTAGCCATTCACACAGTGACAGTGCTCAGAAACCTTGATCTGAGGCTCAGGCTTAGATGCTTCCTAAGACCAAGATATTTTAGATGCCAGTAGTGGATACAACTAACGTATATAGAGAGCAGGGTGTAGCTTTTGAAAGTAGCATAAGATATGCTTGTATCTCTAAAGAAGTCCAATACTGAATACTCTACTACTCTTGCTAAGCTCCTACATATTGGTTCTCTATCTAAAGAAATACCCAAGTCTCAAAACAAAAACCAAACTTCTCTTTCATCAAAAAATTGAGTACCATCTCATGATTTCAAGTGTCTCAGCTAAAAATTGTAACAGCATAAATTACAGAGGTGGATTGCTGCCATCTACTGTCAATAGCACCTTGTATAAATCTGGACGTCGATCGCGAAACACTCCCCAACTATATCTCTTGTATTTGATTTGATCCAGATCAAATTTTGCCACGAGAACAGCTTCCTCTTTGTCATCAGCAGTTGCAACAATTTCTCCAGTTGGTCCTGATCAGAACATCAATGCTCAAACTCCTACTCACACAGATGATACTATGAAAAAACTTTTTAAAGGCCAGCAATATTCTAGTTATCCTGGCACATAACATACCAGCTATAAAGGAATTGCCATAGAACATGATTTCACTTTTGCCATGTTCTGTCTGAATTATCTCTTTTCCAATGCGGTTCGAAGCTATTAAAGGCACCTGAATGTTAACCACATATGTCAGCAAGGCCTCAATTTAGACAAATTAAAACATTTGTGTACTCAAAGGTATTAAAATTCTACAGTGAGGGACAAAAGTATATTCCAGCATATATCAAATGAGGCACAAAATGATCAGGAATGCAAGATTAAAAACTTAGTTCTATGCAACCTCCAAAACTAACAAATCTTACATTCCTGAAGTTCAAAAGCATCAGCTTTTTGTTCATGAACCAACACCTGTAATAGCCAATAGTCCAACCATCATGTATTGCTTTGATTTATGGAAAGGGTCCTTATCATTCAGTGGCTGTCTTATCACAACTTTCAGTGACCAGTGATGAATCAGTTATGCTAGATGCTCACTTCAATGTTGTAACTGAAATAAAAGGTAGAGAAACTCTTCAATTGACACTCGGATGAATACTTAATCTGGTGGCCCCTCAAGAAATGACAATTGTAAACAAAAGGTGACATTGTAGAACTGGTAGGAAGGGACAAGGTTCTCAAAGAGAAGCCTGGAAATATATTTCCTGGAAAGTAATATGTAGAGCTAGGGGCAAAATTTTTTACATGGCCCCCTGAATCAGCTTATACTCATGAAACTTTCAAGTTAAACAGAAGGGGCCAAAAGATAGAAATCTTATTGCATGGCAAAGTTTCTTCAGCTTTAGATGGACAAGAGTCAAATTATCCATGTGAAAATTTAGCAAAGCATTTAGCCTTGGAAAGAAGAGACAACCATCTTTCCTTGGAAAACAGAAACTCTAAAACTGTTTGGAAAACTACAACAAAACATTCCTAGAAAAGGCATATGAAACAGAAGGAGATCTGTGTTGTTTAGTGCCATAGGCTTCAAGCGACAAGAAAAATTTCAACCAGGCTTATTGCACAAGCTCAAAATATGGAAACTCTTGACACAAAGAGTGGTGCTTGCAAGAAACCATAAAGGATTTGCTGCTTAGCTAATGTGCATGTAGGAGACAGGAGTTTACATTTTTGAATGAAGCCCATGAGAGATAAATTTAGAGCTTCTCAAGGCAAGGAGGGAACAGGACAACCTGGAATTAGCATTTCAATACTTCAGTTTAAAAGACAAACAGGTATCTAGTATCTCTGATAGTGTTAAGGTAGTGGAAGTGCTTCGGTGCCTTAGCCATAGACTTCGACTCAATTCTGAAAACAAGCATTTGAAATCATGTCCCACCTATATGTAATCTCCCAGGCAACAGCAGACTGAATGCCATGACACTTCTTTTCATTGTATAAAAATGGGGGCAAATCTAAAAGAAGACAATTTTGGTTAACTGTGTATTGTATGGTCAAATGAAGTCCAGGATACTTAAGAGTTCTACCAAGAGGAAGTACACGGTGGTTTGTTATGCATTATACAGTGCATGCATATAGGTCCGACTCCTTCAAGCCAAAATAACCAGAACCACTAACTTATGAACACAAAAACATCTGCAAACAATTACTGTGGAAGTCCCCACTAAAATTTTAATCCAACATATAAGATGTGTGCATTAACTTGACAAGGTCCAAGGTTAAAAACATCCTTCAGGATATGCAACTCACCAGATTGGCCCCAGCATGCCCTTGCATCACTCTCTTCCAGTGATCTCGAGAATCAAGGCCTTCATCTTGAGGTTCAGAACCAATAGCAGTAGGGTACAACAATATTTCTGCACCTTGAAGAACCATAGCTCGTGCAGTCTCAGGAAACCATTGATCCCAGCAAATTGCTGTCAAGCACAAGCAGTAGAAAACTTAGATTTCCTATTTCCTTCTGGAAGCTGATTGTATTATTTGTTTAAGCCTTCAATTCTTTCTACTGCTACCAGTAATTTTGAGCTTTGGAAGACACAGCTTCTAT